GGTTGTTGATCGATAAGATTGTTGAACAGAAGCAGATAATGACAGTTTCTTCGTTGTGTGGGATCCTTACTGAAGTACAAATTCTGGTTCAAGGCTATCACTGAGAGATTACAATGATGACTTCCTTCCGTAAACAGATCTGTAATGCGAGGATGTTTGCTCGCTGTCGACATTAAGTCGTCGAGGATAACCACATTCACCACATGGGGGTCCAGAAACGCATCCTTTTCCAGGTCAGAAGGAATGCCTTGATGAAATTCCACATAGGGAAAAAACATGGGTTTGAATGGTGTTATACAAGGGCTGCCATCGTTTGTAGAGCCAAATAATACGTTCAGGATAAGGTTTAATGTTCATCCTTTCTAAAATCTGTTTCACTAAGTAGGTTTTCCCACAGGAGGTGGGCCCTGAGACAATCATGGTGTAAGGGTGTATTAGTCTAAATTCTTCCAAAGACTGAGTAGTACTTTCTGATGAATGTGGTTGTACTGGTTGCTGCTGCTGCTTTTGCTTTTGTTGCTGCTGCTGCTGCTTTTGCTTTTGTTGCTGCTGCTGCTGCTTGATTTCTTCTCCTGATTGTTTTGTTCCAATATGACGGGACAAGTCATGAGCCCAAACATATTGTTTGGAGCATACGGGACAGGGATGCATAATGATGTTCACATGTCGACAGTCCTACTACAAATGACACATTTAGCCTTTTGTCTCTATTAAAAATCTGTTTTCATTTGCTTTGTTGACACTACTTCCATTGTGTCTTCCCTATGGACGACACTTTCCCTATCTCTCTTCAACTTGTTTGGTGGGAGACGTGAGCAAACGTGTCTGTAGAAGGGGTAGGTCCATCTTGACCCCTTGCTTCTCATAATAGATCACATAATCATCAACGTTAGTAAAGGGATTAGGATATCCTTTAGCCTGCACATAGGTCCATTTTGTAGGGTCGTCGAGATAGGGTCTCCAGTATCTCCTGTTCATTTTCTTGTTCAGAATGAATACTGACTCTCACGCAGAGGTTTCAGATGAAGTGTCACTATCACTGGTCCACAGCTAAATGAAGCTAAATGACCGTTTCCGTCCTTTATATAGATATCCACAGTCTGGACATTTTTCAGTTTGATGGGCACATAGACATCTCTTAAGGAGGAGATCAGGTTAACTATAAGTGACACATAATGAAGACACATATATATACACTAGCATATCATTTAACCTTGAGATCAAAGTAAAATGATTAAGAATATCATTCAGTGAATGTCCTCTGGCTTTCATCATCACATAAAACAAAGCATACAGTCCACAAGTTTTACTGTTTTTACTTTGAAGTATCCGTGTATTGTGTTGGAAAGAAGCACCATTCCTTTGTAGAAATGTGTGGAATGTCCTTTGATAATACTCAGGCTTTCTTCCCAAAGTGTCAATCTTGCATCCAAATAGCTATCCAGTGTTGTCCAGGTTGATGAGAGGCTTGGTTATTCAAAATGTATCCTTCGGGATATGTGGATATAGTTCGTGGTAACTGACCCGCAGCAAGCACTTTGATTTTCATCACTTTAGTAACACTGTCTTTGTTCAAGAGGCACTGTAGTCGTGTATTCATGGTGTTGCTAATGTTACGCGCTTCGTCCACTTAAAAATCAACTGATCCTCGCTGTAAATGAGACAGCTGATACCTTCCGGAAGCACTGACTTAAAATGTAACTCCAAATGAAGATTACCTTGTTTTAAGGTATTCAAACAGTCCCCTTCTATGCGTTTGGGTTCCAGCATACATTGATAAATAGCATGTCCCTTATTGAAATCTTTTCTTCTACTGGGAAAGTCCCTTTAACATTAATAACATTATATTTCCCACGGTCAGCTCAGTACAACGTCATTGATCCCTGTGAAATGAGGTCGGCCAGGTGTTCGATGACGTCATTTGGGACTATACCCCCCTGTTTACGACAGGCAAGTTTTCTTTTGGCATAACCATTTCTTCAGAGGGTTTATATTCCAAGTTCGCCTTCGTGGTCAAATGAATATAGCGCCAGTCCGGGTACAGAATGCTTGTTATTATCCATACGGGCTAGGATACACATGCGATTATTTTTGTGATTATCGCGCATGTGCTTTTCAGTGATTCTCAACGTTGATTGGTCAGGTAAGCTGAGAAGAAATATGATTGGTTGACGGAACTACTTTTCATGATCCAAGTTCATTGACAACTTTTACCGTTTCATTAATTAATAGAACGTGATTTTAAAAAGGTTAAAGAATATGAATACTCATTTTATAAGACATTATTATATTTCAATAAAATTGCGTTATAAATAGTAGTATTTTTTAAAATAAACTTTAAAAAAAACAATCGTTTGCATTATTTGTAAACAAACATGGCCGCCATTAGGCTAATCCCGATCAAGGACAATGACCTAGTTAAAGTTGACGGTGATCCAAGAGGAAGAGTGATAAGAATTTTACAGCCCTTGAATTCCTACAACCTGTTTGTTGTTAAAAACTGAATTCGGGGAAATAGAAGCATCAAGATACCGACTAAAGGTATTACCTGAAAGTGTGACAAGTGAGTCTGCCACGGCTTTCCGGGCATAAAAATGTTCAATCAATAAACAGTTTCTCAGGTCCAATTTAAGGTGGTGGATTCCACTTCAACATCTCTAATGACTCCTCTCTCAGTTGACGATATGCTCCAAAGAGGCGTATTCTTCCCAATGACTCGGATTCCGACTAGAGCTATCTTTCTTGGAACTGCTGTACCCTACTGGGACCAATGACGTGACTGTAACACGCCTTCCAGAGAACAAAATGTTGTTTAATCTTCAAACTTGTTGAGTTTCTTGAAAACTTTTTATAGATGTATTCGTGGGATGGTTGTCTTTTAGATTTCCCGACTTCTAACCGTTGACTTTCCCCAAAACTGACAGGTTTTTGCCAAAGTGTGTTTCAACACTACACCGTCACCCTGTCACTAGACACACGTCAGTCGTGAATGAACAATGTTCGGGCGCACTGACTTGATCAAATAACGTTGTAGCTGTTATTAAGTTCAATGATATTGATATCCCAGTTGCGTAGATCGATGCTCATACTGTTGATCACTGGATTGTTTGGTCCAGACTCGATTATTGACAGGCGGCGCTAAACTCACTCACTCAGTTGGCACCAGTGTTCGAAATAGCCACTGGCCCGCTTGAATTTTCAAGGGGTCATTTTGAAAATACATGTATATCACTCTCTCCCGACTTATGAGTTATAATACACATTTAAATCAATCATGCAAGATTATGGCCTGATAAAAATGTTCATCATATTAGCAGCTTAATGATGAAACCCGTGTCTACATTCAAATGTGAATAATTTGTTGGGCTAGTGACTTTCAGGCATAGCTAGCCCGTCTGGCTTGCAAAATTTGGAAACTATTTCGGACACTGGTTGGCACTGTACAACCGCTACTTGTCAAGTGAGTCAGTGAGTTTAGTTTAACGCCGCACTCAGCAATATTCCAGCTATATGGTGGCGGTGTGTAAATAATCTAGTCTGGACAGACAATCCAGGGATCAACAGCATGAACATCGATCTGCGCAATTGGGATACGATGACATGTGTCAACCAAGTCAGCGAGCCTTACTACCCGATCCCGGCAACAAATATCTTGACGACGACATTGAACCACATTTCGCAGCACCGAACCTGTGGTTATCCGTTTGGAATTGCACCAAGCGGCATGTGCTGGTCGCCTTTCCCATTGTGGATTGGGTGGTCAGGGTAGCTAACATATTGATGATGTTACAGTACAACCAGAAATTATTGAGAATTTAAAGATTGAATTTTTTTATATTTTTCACTCATTACTCAGGTATTAAATGTGAATATTAGCAGAACATAACTCCAGATTCAAAGACAGGTGAACAGTTAGTATTTTGTCAAGTCACCATGGGCAGCAATGCAGGCTTCAATGCGGCGAGGCATACTACTGATCAAAGAAGTTAGAAAGTGCTGTCCCAATATCGGACCACCTCTTCTTTCATTTCAGCAATATTTGTCAGATTTTTCGTATTGACACTTTCCTTCTTAAGTCCCCTAACATTTTCTACTGGATTTATTAGGTCAGGGCTATAGCTTGGCCAATCTAATAATGTCATATTTTGGGTCCGAAACCAGGCCTGTGAATGCTTTGAACGATGTCGTTGTCCTGCTGGAAAATCCAAAACTTTCCATAGAACACGTGAGCAGATGGAAGTAAATGTCCCTCGAGAATATCTGTGTACCGCTCACTGTTCACATTCCCTTCAAATACACAGAGGGGCGTTGCCCCTTACACAGATATGCCACCCCATACGTTAAATTTCGGACTGTACTTTGGGCGCTGATACAAAGGTTTTTCAGTTTGTTTGGTCCAGAATTTCACTGTATTAGGAAACAGCTACACAGAACATTCATCTGAGAAAATCACATTGTCCCAGTTAAAATTTCTATGCTGTAAGCACCAGTTCAACCTTCGCTCCTTTTGTTCAGGTTTCATGATCGGTGATGGAATTCCTCGACTTTTCTGCCAACCCATTGCATGCAGCTCAGTTCTAATTGTCTCCTTCCAGACAGCCACAGTTCCTCTATGAATCATATCCAGCCTTAAGTTTTCTAAACTCCTTCGTTTGTTTTTAGAAACAAGAATACCAAGCCGCCTCCTGTCACGGACAGTCAATTTTCTGGGCCTACCTGCGCCTCCCTGGTGCTCAATGCCATATCCATTTGCAATATTTTTCAAAACACGATAAACAGTGGACAAAGGGATGCCTGTTCTACTCTTGAAATCACTTTAGCTGATCTGATGTCCTTGTTATAATACTCTAAAATCAACTTCCTATTCTCTAAATCATCCATACTGAGGATCACTGAAACTGTCGTCTGCTAGCAAGTAAACAAAGGGGGATAACTCTTCACAAACTAATAAAAAAGGATTAACGGAGTTGTCTCTCTTGAATGAAACCAAGCACTTGATAGCTGGTCAAGGTTGTTTATACTAGAAATCCAATTAAACATATTCCTACTATACAACGTACCCCTTAGACGTTGATAGATGCTAACACTATCACTGCCTTGTCTGGAATACTGGGATATTGTTGAGGGCATCGATCAACGTATTGAATTCGATGACATGTATAAACCAAGCTTGACCACCCAAACGCCTTAGCCTGAACTCGTATTCTCACAATTAAAGATAATGACACTCAGCAACAATCGCGATTCTGTTCCTGTGTTGATATAATTCACGTATGATCGGGTCGTATTTTAACAGAGTGGATTTACGCAGCTGTATCATCCTCAAATATCGACTGGGAATTCCCAGCCCAGACTGTCCTTTTTATTTAAACAGAATTGTCAGTTTGGAATTTTTCATCTTTTCTGCATACAACGCATTAAATCTTTCGTTCTGGGCCACGGTAAACCAGTTCTTCCAGTCTCCCACTTCCCCTGTAACATAGACACATCGTTTTATTGATTTACTCAGGAACGTTTCTTCCAGTCTCCCACTTCCCCTGTAACATACAAACATCGTTTTACTCATTTACGTTTCTCAGTAACGTTTACGACCGCCATAGAGCTGGAATATTGCTGAGTGCGGCGTTAAACAGTCAAAACAAACAATATTTAACGTTTAGAGTCACCAAGCTAACACAACGTTGTGGGAAGGTTGTAGCCTGGTAACGTCGTGACACAATGTTGTCGCTGCGTAAGTACTTATAACGTTATTACGTAACAACAACGTAACATATATACGTTGTGAAAACGTTGTGTATCGTCTATTACACAATGTTATGTTTCTTAAACGTTGATGCGATGTAAACTCTTTCCCGAAACTCGTGAGAACAAGAGCGTATATTGAACTATTCGTAATTTCTGCAGAAAACAAGACCGTTATTTACCTATTATATTACTGTAATACACTTTTTGATTACCATCCCAAAAATATACTGAAGTCACAGTAACGTAATTTCCATTCTTACTGACGTTAATATCACGTCACTGGGAAAACTATGCAACTACGGTATTAACGTTCAATAGAACGTTAAGACAACGAAATATACGTTAGCATCAATAACGTTAACCTTGTGGCGACGTAAAAATGACGTATCACAACGTCACGTCACAACGTTGTGACAACGTAAATAGGAGTCCACAGTGAGTGAGTGAGTACGGTTTTACGCCGCTTTTAGCAATATTCCAGCAATATCACGGCGAGGGACACCAGAAATGGGTTTCACATATTGTACCCATGTGGGGAATCGAACCCGGGTCTTTGGCGTGACGAGCCAACGCTTGAACCACTAGGCTACCCCACCGCCCCAGAAGTCCACAGAATAACGTTGTAACGACGAAAGCATAACGTTGTGACAACGTAAAATTGTTAGCTGGGCAATAATTATTACTTACAACATTGTGAAAAAGATATTTTCAACACATTATGCAACCAATCGCCGTTCAGATCCGATAATAAATCTTTCGTGGCCCATCTTTTCTCTCTGTTTTTAATCCTGAACCACAAAAGAAACGTCGCCTTTCAAAACAAAATGCCAGATTTTGTTCTTACAAAATGGTGTCTTTATTAAGATTGTATCGTTTTGTTAACATGTTTTTCAATCCAAGTTGGCAGTTTTTACCAACATCAGTGTGTTTTCTGATGAAAAGGCATATCGACCAAACGCACCTTAAACGGCCGACGTGGTAAAAAGGTTCCGTATGACATTCGTGAAAATGAAAATGCATGTGCATATCGTGACAACCGTGCTAATGAAAGCGAGTCCCAAACTCGCCTGAAATCATATTTGTTTTGACACAATCACCATGGCACGACTTACGAGATCAGAGGAACCAAGTCTTGGGACGATTGCAAGTTGACCAGACTGCACAGAACATTTTAATGTTCATATTAGGACAATAAACCGACTGCTGGAGTGGTATCAGGTCATTAACAGCATCCAACTTCAGTAACATCACAACGTCAAGACCGACAGATTGTGCGCCACCATCTGCAGGATCGTTTGCACAGAGCGATCGACGTCGACGTCCACAGACCGTCGACGTTTGCGCGGAAGAAACCTCTGCTGTCACAGACCATATGGTAGTCCTGTCCTCACCGCTAATCGCCTCCAAAACCGACTGCAATGAGCAACTCAGCATCGAAATTGGCGTTATCGACAATGGAGAACTGTGCTTTTTTCTCGTGAAAACCGATATTGTGTTTCGACAGTCGATGGCAGAGTGAGAGTATGGTGAAGGCGAGGGGAACTGTTTTCCAATGAGTGTATTGTTGAAAGAGACTCGTGGGGTGGTCCAAACATCATGGTGTGGGGTGCAATCGGTCTGAACCAGATAGATGGCACCGCGGTGTTCCAGAATCTCGGATGAGGAAATGACGTGACAGCTGCTCGCTATATTGACCAAGTCATAAGACGTTGTACCACATTTTGGACGTTACAGAAATCACATGTTACAGCAAGACAACGCTCGTGCCCATGCTGCCAGAGTAACATTGGACTTGCTAAGACAACATGGCATCCAAACCCTACAATAGCCAACACCCAGTCCGGATTTGAGTCCAATAGGACACCTTTGGGACGAGATTCAAAGAATATTGGACCGCCTTCTTGGTGTAGTGGTTAGGGCGTCCGCCCGGAGAGTGGAAGGTCGCGGGTTCGATCCCCGACCGCGTCATACCAAAAGACCTTAAAATATGGTACTTGTTGGTCCCTGCCTGGCGCTCGGCATTAATGGGTACAACAAGGACTGGTTGGTTCGGAGTCAGTATAATGTGTCTGAATGGGGTATTCATGCTTCACTGCGGCATGGTATCTCAGTGGGCTAGCACTATAAAACCAGCTTCAGTCTGGGCTAGTACAAGCAGCCGCACCTATACATACACACGCATGCACATCGTCATAATGAGCGAAATATTCTCCCGCGCGACGCTAAACCCAATTTCACCTAACCTAAAAAAAAAACCTGAATGACCTCCACCCAAGGCCGACAACTGTTGCTGGACTCGATCAGACATTTCACAGCGTATCGACCGGCTAATGCATTCTATGTACAGACGATGCAAGCTTTCATCGATGCCCATGTAGGCCACACACACAATACTGACTTTGGGGTAACCAAAGGTACCATTTTTGGTGATTTTGTTTGTGTGAACTCTAAATGTGATTCCCGAAAATGTGTTAACCATAATTGTCAAGTTTGAACTCAATAGTCCGTTTTGATTGTTAATTAGAGTGAATTAAATTTAAGAAACCGCTATCGGTGCGACATTTCTTTTGTGGTTCAGTATATAATACGCGAAAGAAGTTAAAGATCACGTGATTTTTTTAATTTTACTATCGTTGATCCACATTGAAACGATATGAAAGAATAAGGATGTTCCTTAACCTCTTTTGACTGGTATACATGTTGTCTACACGAGAATTGCAATCTGAGTGTATTTTTGTAACTCGGTACTCTGTCCTCGTCCATGGCCTCTTACCTATGTACTCACTGAATTCGGTAACGAAAGTATAGGGAATGAACATCACTGCTGTTCTCTAGATCGACTGGATCGTTCCGAAGGTGGGGTAGCCTAGTGGTTAAAGCGTTCGCTCGTCACGCCGACGACCTGAGTTCGATTCCCCATATGGATACGATGTGTGAAGCCCTTTTCTTGTGTCCCTCACCGTGATATAGCTGGAATATTGTTAAAAGCGGCGTAAAACTAAACTCACTCACTCTAGTTAATCCGTGTCATGCTGTCAACCAATACCTTTGTGCGACAAGCCCTCTAAAACCCGAGCAATATTTTCGCGAAATTTTCTGTATTCAAATACAAAACCGATTTTAAGCCATTATTTCAAAGACGACAGATGACTGTCCTACCTTTCCTGTAAAAGCCCTCAGTGCCGGGTTTCCATGCGTTCCGCAGATTGTTTCCCTTCACGTTGTCCTTGGCCTGTTTGAGTTTCTTAAAACTGCATGCTTCCACCACTTCTTGGCAGAACTCGGAATCACGTTGTACCCCAAGGAACTCCGACAGACGTTGTACATTTGACAAGGGATCCTGAAATACGACAGACTCAAAAATGTTCCTGAGACTAGTACCACGGGGCAGGTGTTAACCTTATTATAACCCCGCTTACGAAGCGTTCATACCGTCCTTCCGTCTCCAACGGAGCATATCACAAAGTTTACATCCTAGGGAACCGTTCGTAATTTATGGCTTTTTGAATTTTTTCATTTAAGCGCTTACTTTGTACATAAATTTAAGGAGGGCCAGTCACATTGTACATGCATCTCCATAAAAATCTTGAAAGAAGGACATTTTCAGTTATTCTACTTAATCATTAGTTTATGCTGTTTTAGTTGTAGCAAAAACAAAATTAATAGTCTAGAACTGGTTCAAATTCTTACCCCTCAAATGCAACAAGGCGGTGAGGACATTAGATTCCTAACCGTCCTCGTCACAAAGTCAGTAGTCCCGAGCCAGCGGACAAGCGTATATCGAAGACTTAGTAATGGTTGGTTGGTTATATTTTTAACGCCGAACTTGGCAATTTTCCAGGTGTATGGAGGCGGTCTGTAAATAATCGAGTCTGGACCAGACACTCCAGTGATTCTCTACATGGGTACAGTGTGAGAAGCATATTTCTGGTGTCCCCCGTCGAGATATTGCTAAAAGCGGGGTAAAAGTCAACTCTCCATAGTCGTAGCACTAGGATTGCTTTGTGCAAGAGGGCCCAGATTCAATTATTGGCAGAATGAGTTAGTGAGATTGGTTTTACGCCGCTTTCAGCAATATTCCAGCAATACCACGGCGGGGGACACCGGAAATGGGCTTCACACATTGTGCCCACGTGGGGAATAGAACCCGGGTCTTCAGCGTGACGAGCGAACGCCAAAGCACTAGGTTACCCCACCGCCCCCAGTTATTGGCAGACCCTCTATACAGATGGAACACTGCTAAGTGCGGCGTTAAAATAAAAAATAAACAGTAGAAAGTTCTGATTTTATCACCAGTTTTACAATATTTACATTATATACAGGGTAAGCTTGGTGTGAAATTTATTTAAAGCCAAACAAAATATGCATACCGCTTTCATGGCTTCGTAGTGCACAGTAAGTACGGGTAATTCCGTGAGAGCTGTAACTGTCTTCTCCCAGGCTAAGACACTGTCGAACCAAGACCCAAACCAGACTGCGATCATGAAACAAAACCATATCACAAAGTAAAGTAATTGGCGCAACACATTTTTCGATAGGTATGTTCAAACTGTTGTCACTGTTCTACGCTTACGATGTGCGACCAGAGTGAGTGAGTGAATTTAGTTTTACGCTGCACTCGGCAATATTCCAGCTATATGGCGGCGGTCTGTAAATAATCGAGTCTGGACCAGACAATAGCAAAGACGTATATACGTCCTTGGTAATAGTCTGTATATTGATTTATATTGTAGATCGAGTCGCTTTGCTTCGGAAACATTGTTTTGAAAATATTGAGAAAGAAGAACAAGATGACGTGTTTTTTAAGGAGTATTGGGTTATTTTCATCACAGCAGGGCATTCATTTCCGAGTAAAATTGACAATAAAAATGTTTATATTACTTCACTTCGGAATGAAAAGTCGGGTTGGGCAGGAGATGGGAAACACAGTAAAAATACGGACAGCCTTATCACAAATCCACAGTTTTCACTGTGGGACTTCACATCCCGCTGTAGGGTAGCATCCTAACTCACCGTTACCCTGGAGATAGGCGTCCAGGAAGTCGTCCCAGGTCCCGTTGTACACAAATTTCTCTCCGGGATTCATTCCGGTCACGTGATGGTAGAGGGACACCGCGACGTCCTTAGGGTTCCTCAGTAGGTAAATGACCTTGGTTCTCTTGGTCACGATCTCCGACGGCAGGAATCTGGAATTGATCCTTGGTCATGGGTGAGTGAGTTAAAATTTAACGTCACATCGGCAATATTGCAGCCATATCGTGACGACCTTGGTCATGGATCTATCTGGACCCACTGAGAGGCCAATATTACTAGACAGTACTAGAATTTGTAATCCCAAATATAACATGTGCTAACTTTGACCACTTTCTAAATGGCATTGTGTATTCAAAGATATTTTTTAATTGTTTATTGTTTAACGCCGCACTCAACAATATTCCAGCTACATGGCTTTGGTCTGTAAACAATTGAGTCTGGGCCAGACAATCCAGTGATCAACAACATGAGCGTTGATCTACACAACTGGGATACGATAACGCTCATCAACCAGTGAGCCAAGCCACCCGATACCGTTAGTCGTCTCTTACGCAAAGCATGGGTTGCCAATTCTAACCCGGATCTTCACGGGTATAAATGCCTTTGAATATAAGAAATTTAATAAAATAGCAAATATATAAAAGCAAGCATTATATTTCCCACTCTACCCATCAAGGGTTAGTCAGAACCTGAGTTCTGTAATACAGAACCTGTAACAAATAGGGGGGGGGGGGGGGTAGGCTAGTGGTTACGGCGTTCGCTCGTCACGCCGAAGACCCGGGTTCGTTTCCCCACATGGGTACAATGTGTGAAGCCCATTTCTGGTGTTCCCCCGCCGTGATATTGCTGGAATATTGCTAAAAGCGGCGTAAAACTAAACTCACTCACTGTAACAAATAGACAAGATGCATACTCCTCTCTCTCCACGAGGCTGCGAAGGATCACTGTGAAGTAAGTGACTGTTTGTCAGTATGAACATGTGTTCTCACAAGACGGGTCGTGCGGGCAGCGCACGTGCAGGACACGGGTAGCGCGTGTACCAAGAAAGCATTCAGACGTTGGCCCAACGTTGGCAATGGTTTTGCCAACATTGCCAACGTTGGCCCAACGTCCTAATGCTATCTGGGTGTAGTGCACGTGCATTGCGCGTGCAAGGCAAGGTATCGTATGCCAGTTGCATGCCAGTCGAATCCCAGTTGATTTCAACAGTATACCAAATATTGCATCTAAAGCCCCGTTCACATGCACCTGTTTGCGCACATATGTATAAATACACACATGAGCAAACTTTACATACGTGTGTAAATGTGTCATGTGAACGCATTTACACACGTATGTAAATATACACTAGGAGCAAATTAACATGTGGTCAGGACCAGGTGCAAAAGTATATTTACACATGTGCAACTTTGCACTGCGAGTAAACTGTGTCATGTCATCTTCAATTAGGTGAAAAGTTATATAATATGTAACCCAAACATCACATATGGTCTGACAAACTTCATGAATACATTTACAAACGGTGGACTTCCCTACACCAAACAAATTCCCCACAGTTCTATATTCTGAAGTTGAAGCTATCCAGTCAGGGTTCAAAATCCCATCGCCCGATGCCCGGGACGTCAGTTTTCATTTCGGACAATCAAATAATGGTATCTTACTTGTCCGTGGGCTACTAGATAATTTTTACTTATGGTTTCAAACTGCAAATAAACTTGGATTTAATTTCATATCTGCTCAAAATGTAGCTATTAAATTTCGCAATGATAATAAAGTAGAGTTATCTTTCTTTGCTATTTATAACTTTTCAATAAATAGTCCAGTAAACATTAACATCAAATACCATGTTGATTTCTTCTTTCATAATTACATCATCATGATTATGTCATAAAATCAGGGCAAGTGGAAAATTAGTCAGGACAAGTTACTTTCTTAAAGTCAACCCCTGCCAGTATATAGCGATTGCAACTTTCATTCGTACATCCAAAGGTTGGCGAACTAGCTTTTACGTAATCCTGCAGTTGTGTGCAGAAGAGATCGAAAACCCTTTGTTCATTCGAAAATTGTCGTACCAGTCTTTGTCGTCACTAGTTTTATTAATGTCGATCCAGCAAACAGACAGTCTATCTTGTGACAGACTATTGCAAGAGCAGTACATATCTAATACTGGGTTTGTCTTCTAAAGCGCCACTGATAAGAGAACATCTTTCTCTGTTGAAGTTCAGAGAAAAAATGATACAATTTAATGCATTTATTTTTACACTTTCGAGTTTACTCTCTCTATATAAATTCAATGTGAACGCAAAGTAAATTTACTATTACACACGTATGTATATTTACACATGTGCATGTTTACTTACATGAGTACATTTTGAGCAAGTGAATGGGGCTTTAGATATATCTTTGGTCAGTTCATAGTTGGACCAAAGCCGCCTCCTCTGTTTTGGCTGAAGAAAATAAGCCCTTGGCCTCGGGATTGTTACCTGAATCCCATGTGTGTGTTGAGTAGTCTCGGTGACGTCAGAGCGTCAAGCGCCGCCACTTCCTTGACTTCCAGGAATTGGCTCTCTTTGATATCCCGGATGTAGTTTGTACTTCCGGCCAGCAACATCCCCGCCACCTCCCACACCCAGTGTGTACCTGACAGGGATACATAAACAGATACAAACATGTCAACATCCCAGCCACCTCCCACATCCAGTGTGTACCTAACAGATACAAACATGTCAACATTACACGGTGGAACTTGAGGATGCGTCAACTCTGTATGACACAATTAAAACAATATTTCAGTCAGAGCTGATCTTAGACATTAAACATTATCGATTGTCTTACCTAAGTATTGACCATCGGAGCCTGCCTGCACTTATTCTGGGTAAATATTGCTGCATCTTTGTCAATTAAACGCCCCCTCTTGGAACGTGAAACCATTATTTTTTTATTTACTTTTATTTTATCTTATTTATTTATTTATTATTATTTATTATTTTTTTGCCGCTTTTAGCAATATTCCAGCAGTGTGATACTGCTTTTTTCGGGGGCAACCCCCTGAACCCACCCACCCCTCCCCTCTGGATCCGCCAATGTACTTCTCTCAAATTCTCTCTTTGCCAGTGGTGTTTAATTTCGACAAAATTAATGACTCTCAGACTCATTCACATGTTTACTGTTTCCAGATACCTCCTACCCGTTGAAGTTTACATTGAGAAAAACGGTCCATATATTATTTCAAGACTGTTTTAGCGCCTCAAACCTGACTTGGCGTAGCCCACTACGGTGACGTCATCGTCCCTGATGTGCATTTTCTGAATGTTCTCCAAGTGGGTGGCATATTCCACATCCAAAGTGAAAGGCGGAAAATAATGGCCGTCTACACAATTTGCGTATACAGAGTTACCGCCCTTGTCTGTTAGCAACTTCAGAGTTGACATTTTGACCACTGCAAAGAAATATTGTCGCAGATCATAATTATATATACACACATTAAAAAATATACACATTTAATACCAAAGCTGGACTATTCTTTGCGTTAATTTCTGCCAGTGTTCGGAAAACGATGTCAGTCTTAAAATAAACTGTCTGACGAAAGTGTGTAATGACTTGAAAACCAAAATATACAAACGTTATGAAATTTTTACTTGACTGACAGAGTGAGTATAGTTTGACGCCGCTCTTAGCAATATTCCAGCAATATCACGGCGGGGGACACCATTCAACCCATGTGTGGAATCGAACCCGGGTCTTCGGCGTGATGGGCGAACGCTTTAAAGGTCACATAAACCCTAGGGGGTACAAATACATAAATCACTAACTGGCATCGTTATAAATGAAACCCCGTCATTAAAACTACTCATTTCGACCTTTAATTGACTTAAATCGACCTTTTTGACAACAGTGCACAATTCTCACCCGCGAACGAAATTTCAACCAATCAGAGCGGCGCGCCTCTGTGACGTCATATGAGGAATCGCTTTGAGAGCCGATGCAGAATTCATCTACATTTTAGGGGGTAAATTATCGTGTTTACAGGCTTGTATAAACCTGAAATCGTGACAATTGTTGTGGAAAATGAAAGCTATATGTTCTCACAATCTACTGTCATTTATTTTTGTCTCCTGCTTTGCCTAGTTTCCGAGTTACAACTTGTTTTCATAGACGATTCTGTCAAAATCGATTGGTGTCGTTAGGCCCTATTTGTATAATGACTGATCCAAATTGATCCCATTTCTGTGTTGTTTTACCTCGATATTTAATCATGTCATGTAAAAATCTGTTTGTATTCTCAAAACAGTGTCGGCCCATAAGTTTTCACATGCAATACAGCAATTAATACTCCCTCGTTGTAACCCGTGTTAGGTGGTATAAACCTACACATGTTATTTGTCATCATTCACTTGATGGTCACTTAATGAATTTATAACAGGTATAATTAGTGGTAACACACTTAGATTACCCGACAAAGGTTCCCATTTGGCATTTCTTGTGTCTGGAGTAAATATTCAACATTATAAACATCGATCAAAGGATTAACCGATAACACGCTGATTGATTAATTACTTTTATCTTACACAGCGGAATTGTCAAAAGGTAGTGTTTATGTATGTAGATTTACTAATCTATACTGAATACACTCTGTCGTGTCGGTGTCTGCGTAAAAACAACGTCCTTCTTTCAAAGGATTAACCGGCAAAACATTGATTGATTGCCCATTATTGGCTAACTAAATTACTGTTTTAAAGAAAGGCGGACATTATGCAATTAGTTGCCAGGTGTGCTATCTTGGGTGACCAATGAGACTATACACCAATACCTGAAAAGATTTATCACTTTTTCGTATATTAAACTGTTAAAAGACACATCATTTGGAACAGTTTTGTGGATATTGATGGATACATTCCTCGAACAAGGTAATGGCCTGATATTGTTCCTATAACTTTAATCTGTTTTAATTTTAATATTTGCATTTTGTTTTTATTCATTTGTCGTAGCATTCAACAGAATCATTGTTTTCTCCGTGAAGTGTAATGAGACAGACAACATGCACTAGGGTGTGTGTGCGAATTATGATTCACATTGGCAAACTATAAAATGTCTAGATATTACAGTTCTGTTATAAATTCACTATAAGTATCAGCAGATCGTCTGCTTTTTATTTAGTTTCAAAATGCATACAAGTGTGATAATAAACTAATTAGGATTATAAGACCAAATATAAAGACGCACATTGACTAGTATCTACATACTGGTGAGTGGACATTAACCATGGGAATGTAGCAAGAAATTTATCGCGCAGTATTGTGACTTCGACCCCCACCTCGCTTCCGTGGAAGAAATCGTTATGTTATAAGTTGTGTCATGCAAAATCCGTTTGGTTATGATTCCAATACATATTTAACAACGAGTAGAAAGTAGTCTTGATTTTCTAACTTGATGAAAACAAACTATAATCTCATTATTCTAACAGATTTTTTTTATTTTTAAAAATGGCGGCGCCCTGTCGGGAACATCCGCCAGTCTGAGGATAAATGGTATTTAGGTTTGTTTTCACCGAGTTACAAAATCAAAACTACTTTCTACTGGTAGTAAAATATGTATTTTATTGATGGCCAATAGGATTTTGCATGACATAGCGTATATCATAACAATTTCTCTCGTGGCAGCGAGGTGGGTGTCAATATAATACTACTTACAATATTATTGTTACTTCGACCACAACCTTACTTCCGAGGAAGAAATCGTTATGTTACAAGTTGTGTCATAGAAAATCTTTATGGTCATCAATCATATGCATATTTTACTACAACTAGTAAGTAGTTTTGATTCTTTAACTTCCGTGAAGCGATCTGAACACAAGTAAGATATCGTTTCAGGTTTTCACAACGCTCGCTTCGCACTCACAAACATAACCCATTTAGCACGAACTGCGGGGTCCTGTGGAAATCTGTGCATGGTGACACCATCGCCCGACCCCCTAGGAGCAATTGACGACAAAGCAACGATTCGGCATGTCGTCGTTGATGTCGAGAAATCATCAAAATGATGTGCGTGCTACACATTTTCTATACAACTAACTGCAAATCCTTCCTCATATGACGTCACTGCAGTGCTCTGGCGACAGAGTTACGTAACCTGTCTGTGGTTTCGTTGGCGGGCGAGAGGGAAGCAGGCGACTTTTTGGCCACTTTTAATCGCTCGGTATTAATTAACCACAAGTTTTTAAAGAATAAATTTGGTGTTCCGCATAAGACTAACCACAAATCTTTCATATGTAATGGTTAAAAGAGTAACAAAAAACAAAGTTTAGTGGTTCTGTAAACACTAGGCTACCCGAATGCCCCTTAATAGACTGACAACAGGCAGAAACACTGCAAACTTCCTGCAGCAAATATATCCCTATCGATTTTGTTTGTTTTATTTTAGCCACCTTCAAAACTGCCGATAATTGTTTGTTTTTTTTAAACTTTTTTTCCCAATAGTTTCCTATGTAAACATAACAATTCAATTGTTCGCCTGTTCGTTTTTAATGTCACGATAACCATACACAAATTAATGTTCTGGAACACCTTGAAGCAACAAACACGAGATGCATGTTCAGACTGCGTCCCTAAAACGCAACCGCCCAGTCGGATATGGCTGGTGTCTGGGTCACAGTGTGGGTATTGAACGTTGTCATATTTCTACTGTAATTCGACCTGTATCGACTTAGGATATGGTATTACAATATATAAATACCTTAATACGGAACAGACATTGTGGATGAAGTATTGTTACAGGATATAACAAGTCTTGATATGTATTTCTGTACCTGATGTCGAGGGCGTTCCTGATGCACCGACCTAACCGTTTGTTCGTTTAGAGGCTGCGCGTGTGTCGACCTGCTTACATGGTTACACACAGTCGTCAGGCGGATACAATGATAAGAGACCCATCAACACAAATATTTTACGTGTTGTTTTTTAAATCTATTTTGCTGAACTACATTTAATCGAGATCAAGACCGCGAGTAACGCTTATCGAGTACCAACTTACCACAACGAGAGAATGATCCCGCCAGAAGGGCTAGGGGAGTTAATGTAGTGTGCTACGTTCGAGTAGCCTCCCTTACCCTATAAACGCCAAACCAGTCACATGGACACACTGGATGGCATTGCGTTTTATTTGAGATTACAGAAAAGCTAACTCATGTTTCGCTTCAACAATAATTTATGGAGGGTTATATTGTATAATTCTCATCGTATCCCAATTGTGCATGATGTTTATCACTGGATTGTCTGGTCCAGACTTGTTTATATACAAACCGCCGTCACTACTGGTGAGTGTGGCGTTAAACAGACTGAATGTCAATCGCATAACCATCTCCTCCTACCGGGTATCCATTCGCTGCTGAATGAAAAAAAAATATTCAGCCACTTGTCTAACCAGACACGTGTACATGTTTGTCGGGTGCTTCGGTGTGGGGCTTAAGACCAAAGCCCTAGCAACTTACAGGAGGAATTCCACCGAACCAATTCAACTACTCTCCACGACAATTTAAGTGGCTTCATTTCAACTGTTTCCGCCACAGCAGACTGTAAATACCCGATTTAGATAAACTAGTGGTTGATAACATGAACCACGATCTACCCGAGGTCCCACACAATGAGCCAGGTGAGAATCAACAACTGGGATCGACAATTTCACTTGATTAGTGATCCGCGCGCTCAACTCACGAACCACCACAATAGGTCAGTGTAATATTATATTGCTTCTTCTAAGAGGCGACTAAAGTTATGTCGGAAATAGAAAAAAACCTGTTTTGTCGTATTTATATCTACAATTTATGTAGTTAATATGTGAAAGTGTGAAATATCTGTTAAACTAATGTCCGCGTAACTACAGCCTCAGTGGTAGGGAGATAGAAAACGTAGATAAATGACTTTACTGAGGAGACATTAGTGTAGAATGAGCAAACCGGCTTATTTGGAACAGACCATGACTTTATGATAGTGCGTGATACTATTGTAATACAAACGACACATTTTAAATGCCCATTTCAAAATTAAACTTAGCGTCATTATAAACGATAGCTGTCGTAAACAATAATAACTTTAATACTGAAACTATTAAGGATGTAGCTACAACGGAGTCTCACTATCACTCTAAATACAAACAGGTAGGAGGGGTCGTCTCAAACGGTGTCTCAGGACGGATGTCACAGACGGCGGTTGGGGTCAGGCCGGGAATTAGATATACAGTACAACCATAAATTATTGAGAATTTAAAGATTGTAATTTTTTTTTAAAAATTCACTCATTACTCACGTATAAAATGTGAATATTAGCAGAACATAACTCCAGATTCAAAGACAGGTGAACAGTTCGTATTTTGTCAAGTCACCATGGGCAGCAATGCAGGCTTCAATGCGGCGGGGCATACTACTGATCAAAGAAGTTAGAACGTCGTGGTCCATGCTGTCCCAATATCGGACCACCTCTTCTTTCATTTCAGCAATATTTGTGAGATTTTTTTTATTGACACATTCCTTCATATGTCCCCAAACATTCTTCAATTGGATTTAGGTCAGGGCTATAGCTTGGCCAATCTAATAATGTCATATTTTGGGTCCGAAACCAGGCCTGTGAATGCTTTGAACGATGTTTTGGGTCGTTGTCCTGCTGGAAAATCCAAACATTTCCATAGAACACGTGAGCAGATGGAAGTAAATGTCCATCGAGAATATCTGTGTACCGCTCACTTTTCATATTCCCTTCAAATACACAGAGGGGCGTTGCCCCTAACACAGATATGCCACCCCACACGTGAAATTTCGGACTGTACTTTGGGCTGATACAAAGGTTTTTCAGTTTATTTGGTCCAGAATTTCAGTGTATTAGGAAACAGCCACACAGAACTTTCATCTGAGAAAATCACATTGTCCCAGTTAAAATTTCTAGGCTGTAAGCACCAGTTCGCTCCTTTAGTTCAGGTTTCATGATTGATGATGGAGTTCCTCGACTTTTCTGCCAACCCATTGCATGCAGCTCAGTTCTAATTGTCTCCTTACAGACAGCCACAGTTCCTCTATCAATCATATCCAGCCTTAAGTTTTCTAAACTCCTTCGTTTGTTTTTAGAAACAAGAATACCAAGCCGCCTCCTGTCACCGACAGTCAATTTTCTTGGCCTATCTGCGCCTCCCTGGTGCTCAATGCCATATCCATTTGCAATATTTTTCAAAACACGATAAACAGTGGACAAAGGGATGCCTGTCCTACTTGAAATCACTTTAGCTGATCTGATGTCCTTGTTATAATACTTTAAAATCAACTTCCTCTTCTCTAAATCATCCTCACTGAGGATCACTGAAAATGTCGTCTGCTAGCAAGTAAACAAAGGGGGATAACTCTTCACAAACTAATGAAAAAGGATTAACGGAGTCTCTCTTGAATGAAACCAAGCACTTGATAGCTGGTCAAGGTTGTTTATACTAGAAATCCAATTAAACATATTCCTAAAATTCTCAATAATTTCTGGTCATACTATATCAGCTACGATAAGAAAAACTGAGGAAGCAAACGGCATGTCATAACAATTTATACAAATAATATTCCGTCCTGTCGATCATCGGGTGGTGATGCCACCTATATATTTTAATACGATGGCTGATTTAAACTTTTCTGTGGGTATCATACTCTTTTACATAGCTCAACATAAACTTTATGAAAGAAAGACACATAAGATATTAATCGAAAGATGAGACATATTCAACACACATGTGGAACATAAAATATCTTTGAGATGACCCCTTGTGCCCGTAGGCAGCACATGCATTTCATGCCAGGTGAGTCGACTGTCCGTCGTCATACCTGGCTGAGCGACCTAATTGCCATCTATAGTCTGATCTATTGTTTTCAGCAGCTGTTCGTATAAGTTTTGCCCGATTTTACGAGTAAACATGCTTTTCTGGATATCCTATTACGCATTCCACTGAACGCCCAGTAAGGCCGATGCTGGTTATTTCGACATATGCTATTTGCAATTGTGTAAATTTTAGGGATACAGTGTAACAGTTTTTTTCTATTTCCGACAGTACTTTAGTTTGTTTTATCTTAGAGCCTTACAAACCGGACTAAAACCTATCTCTATTTCAGTATATATATTCAATTGTCAAGTGAGGCGATGTCCTTTTGCTGAAAAGTTAATTATTTGATACTGATTGTTCTGAATAAATCGGCTTTGAAAACATACTGTAATAGCTGCAAAGCATTTCTCCTTAATGGAGATTGGAAGTTATTGTTCTAAATGTCACGGTGATAGTGAGTGAGTGAGTGAGTTTAGTTTTACGCCGCACTCAGCAATATTCCAGCTATATGGCGGAGGTCTGTAAATAATCGAGTCTGGACCAGACAATCCAGTGATCAACAGCATGAGCATCGATCTGCGCAATTGGGAACCGATGACATGTGTCAACCAAGTCAGAGAGCCTGACCACCCGATCCCGTTAGTCGCCTCTTACGACAAGCAAAGTCGCCTTTTATGGCAAGCATGGGTTGCTGAAGACCTATTCTACCCCGGATCTTCACGGGTCGTCACGGTGATGATAACGGTCAGACCTTGGTGCAGTTTTAGTCCCTTTCATGCTGTAAGAGCTGGTCTGGGGGCTAGAGTGGTTAAAAGATCACGTTCTTTATTCTAAACACCAAGGTTCGAACCCTGATAACAGTAAAATGCATAAATATCAGTGCCCCCTGCAGGACTATTATCAAGCGTTACTAGACCACCACTACCAACAACAAAATCTAGAGAACCATACATAATCAAATTTTATGCAGTTCTTGTAAGCAAGTGGTGGCCTGTTTGAAGTAGCCAGCTTCCTCGTTTGGAACACGGGCTTTATCTCACTGGGGATAATGTTACAACTCCTGATTCATATCGCCGTTGTCTATCGGTGACTGGGGTGTCCACTTTCATTGGTCATGTCTGAAACTGTATAACAACGGACAGGAAACCGGCAATTTTGTTGCGGGATTTTTCCTCCATCATTTCCTCTAGCCACAATAGTTTTTTTCTTTCTTTCTTTCTATATTTTTTCGTTGAATATTATATTTTTAAAGCTGCTTGTCATAAGGACCCTGAAACAAATATATCCCAGAAAACACATACAAGTCTAAAATATCTGTAAAATGAAGAAATTCTCTCCTTTTCATGATACTTTATGATTATAATTTATGAATTTTTTTTCTGTAAAATATGTAAAATATCAGAGACTAGATGTTACACTAAAGTACTGTCGGAAATGCTCGAAAAATGCTTTTTAGCCTTAATACTTTGATAAAGGTGATAAATGTACTATGTTGTCAATATATCAACTCGCCTATAGTGTACCTAATTTTTATTTCAATGGATTTAACATTCCCATGCATTTAAAGGGCAGTTAACAGGAGAGAATATGGTACCAGACAACAGAAATCTGAAATAGTCTTTCCAATTATGCTAATAATACAGGTGGTGGAAAAATATGAATCAACGTTTTTCTTTAACAACTAAATGTTGAATGTTTGTGTTACTTTAATTAATTATCGTTTCTTTATTGAAGAAATATTAATATAAATGTTAAGTCTTGATAAATAAGTTTCCCGTGATTGATGCACATCTTTATCACAGCGTCCACTATGGCCAACTATTTGCCGTCAATTGTTGCAAAGGTTTATAAGTTTTTTGTGCTTGAAAAAAACGGAGGTATACCTTTCATTAGTTTAGAAAGGGTTTATTACAGAACTTGTAGAGCTGTTGGTATGTCTTACCAACAAGTTTACAATATTGTAAACAAATCAGACAAGACAGGGACCGTCTCAAACGCAAAACCAGGACGTAAAACCAT